CACTAGGTGCTCCCCACCCTTGGCTATTGGAAACTGACGAACACTAGGTGCTCCCCACCCTTGGCTATTGGAAGTCATGCGGTATCAATCCTGTGCACAGTGTTTCAATGCCTGCAGCATTTCTTGGGAAGTCTACTCAGTATTGGCATTGCAGGTTCAAAGGCAATCCTCTTCAGCTTTGTGGAGGACTTCCAAACTATTTTCCATGGCAGCGTCACCATTGTGGGAGAGTTTCTCCACGCTCCAACACTTGTTCCCTGTCTTCTGATAGCCATCCTCACAGGTATGAAGTTGTATTTCACGTTTTTAACCTGCAGTCAAACCCCTTGTTTGCGGGGGAGGGTTGGGCTGTGCTTGGGGTTTCACCCAGGGCCTCTCTCATACTCTGAAAGCCCTCTGCTACTAAATTACATCCTCAGCCCCCAAATCCTTCTTTAAAAAAATGGTCTTACCATGGATTTGGTTCCCAGCACCCACATGTGGTCCATAACCATTTGTCAGTACATTCTAGGGGATCCAATGTCCTCTTCTGGCCTCCATGGGCACGGGACACACATATGATGTGCATATATACATGTAGAATCTCATACACATAATAAGAATAAATTTCTTTCCATTAAAAAAAGTAAAGAATTCTAAAACCAACCAATCAACCAAAATGGTCTTTCTGGCCTGGGGAAATGCCATGCAAACATGAGAACCTGAGTTTGGCTCCCCAGGTGGGTATGGTGTACTCCCGTGCACCAGGGAGGCTGAAACGGGAGGATTCCTGGGATTTGCTGGCCAACAGTGTAGATGAACAGATGAGCTCCAGGTTTAGTGAAAAACCCTGTCTCATAAAACAAGATTGAGTCCTTGAAGAAGATATCCCACTTTGGCCTCCATGTATACACAGATGTGCACGTGTGTATACACACACACACACACACACACACACACACACACACGAGAAAAAGTCTTCAGACTTCCTATTGGTCAGTTTTTGTCCCTGTGAGAAAACATCTCAGCAAAATGAGAGGTGGGGACTGGATTCCTTTTGTGCCCTGCTTAAGCAGTGTTGGCCTGTCAGGTGGAGGAGGGTGTGAAACAGTTCACCTCATGCAGCCAGAGAGGGAAGAGAGAGAGAGAGAAAGACAGATGGACAGGCAGAAGGAGGGGGTGCCTATACATACAGAGTCTGTTCCCTTTTATTCTGTCCCGGGGCCCAGCCTATGGGATGGGGTGCTTCGTCCCCAATGCTGTCAGTAAAGATAAATCAGTCCATCTTCCACAAGTAGAACAGATGTGAGCACCCCAAAGGCTGAAATGGGGAAGGAAACCTGAGCACACCCTGCTCAGCAGTTCAGAGTTCCCTGAGGTGGGACAAGGACCAGGACTTGGGACCAGTGCTGAGGCAGGCTTCTTGTGGTGCCGCCTCAGCCCTCAGGCCTTTTCTGGTTGCCTTGGGAACCCCTGCAGCATTTGGCCAATTGTGAAACAGCCCTGCCACTGTACTGGGGTTGCCACAGTGAGCACGCAGAATTCAATGGCTCTGTTGAGCAGTTTGAGTTCAGGGAGTGGCTTGTGCCAGAGACAGGAAGTGAGCTGGAGAAGTCCCCCTCCACAAGGGCAGGAAGGCTGGACTGGAGTCTGCTGATGGGGGAGGATGAGGCCGCCCTGAAGCCTGCAGAGCTTTGCCCATCGCCTCAGTGCGGTGGCCCTGGTGTTCTAAGGTGGGAGGGTGGCTCCTTGGCAAATGCCCGTTTCCATTCCCCTCTCTGCATTAGCATTCAAGGAGCACAAGGTTCTGTGCTTGCCTAGGAAGAATGTTCCAGGTTCTGCTGCTGCCTTGGCAGAGACGGGCGCCCTCCCAAACTCTGGTCGCCATGCTCTGCTTTGCACAGCTGCTGGGGCTGAGTCATCAGCTCAGCCTGTTCTGTTCTCTGGGATTTCAGGGTTGCTTTCTTCCTTTTGTTGATGGTTAATGCTTTGAAAAGGACCTTCAAAGGTGTATTCTGGGACGTTCCCGTAGGATACTGGGTTGACCCAAGCGCCTGGCTTGCTCCCCTGTTGAATAAGGTGCCAGTTTCTCCTGAGAGATGCAGCTTCCTGATCTTAAAGCCGAGGAAACTGCTACCCAGGAGTCTAGTCACTGAAGCAAGCATCATTTGCAAGTCCCTTGTTTCGTAAACAGCCCGAGAATCAGAATGTGGGACCCAGAGTTCCTCAGAGACCATCTAGTCTAGCTCTATGATCTAGCACAGGTTTTAAACCATTGTATAATGACCACTATGTGTTAATTGTGTTTATTTCTATGAAATATACCAGGAAGCTTCAGCTAAGGGGCTAAGACAAGAAGAAATGGGGCCTAGTCCCTGTAGGAAGACTTCATCCTGAATACACACAGTCCTGGGGAAGGATGCTGTAGGCTGGCAGAGAGCTCAAGCAGAGAGATGGTGGCGCTTTGACAAGCAGAGCTCTCACTGCATATATACAAGTGCACACACATAGACACGTGTGCACACATGCACTGCATGCAGAGGCTGGGGAGAAAAAAAAGAGGAGGAGGAGACCATTATAAGTGGAAAGGACTTGATCACCAGGATTAAGTGTTTTCTCCTTATTTTCACATAACCACGAGTTTCTGATGGCTTCCAAACAGGGTCCAGGTCCTTTCTCTGTTATTCCTGATGCTGCCCAGACCCGTGCCCTCCTAAATTCACCCCTGGAAGATTTTAGCAGTCTGCAATCTGGTCTCCTTCCCGGTTCTGTCCTTTCCTGACACACGCTAGAGGGCCCCCCAGGGTTATCTCACGTGAACATCCCATGTGCCCCCCCCTCTCCTTTGTGGGGCAGCCCCATGCCTCCCTGTGGCCCACTGGGCAAGACCCTGGCTCATCCGGCTGTGTGTGGCCTGGCCCCACTGCCCCTCACAGCCTCACTCCCATTGTTCCTCACCAGGCACCCCGGCTTCCGAGCAACGATGTTGTTAAGTTAATTACTGCCTTTGGCCATGCTGCCCCTGCCTCCCCATGCATGGCGGACTCCTACTCAGCCTTCCAGGCACAACACAAGTTTCTGGCTGGAAGAAGCCTTTTTCCGGAGGCCACCAGAATGTCGTGGATGTGGGTTTTTTTTTTTCTGAAGGTCATATCACATGTTAATTGTCTAGTTCCAGAACACTGTCTCCTCCTGTGTGTGTCGTGCCTCTTGTGTGACATGCACCCATCCGTGCCACACGCATGCACTGCTACATGTTACTTTCACAGTAGCCAGAGAGGAGGGGCAGCGTCATGGTAGGCTGAAGCTCAGCAGTAGCCAGGCTCGCTGAGGCATGTAGCCCAAGTACAAGAACCAGCGTTCAATCTCATATCTGTTTGAGCCAATTTCTGCAGCTTTTCAGCTCCCCCTCCCCATTTTAGGCCCTTAGGCAGCGCTGGGACTGGGGATGACCAATCAAAGAGATAGATGTGTGTGTGGTTCCTATGGAGCCTGCACAATGGGGAAACAGGAACACTGATGAGAAAGGGGCGGGTGTCCTTGGGGTTGAAGGAATGAGAGATTGTTGACCCTGCTCCCATGGCTTAGGAGCTTTCCTTTCAGCCTCCATTCCAAGTGGCTGCCTCTGGCTGCCTGGGGACAGGCCTGTGGGACTCCAGGCTGAATAGGCGGCATGGTGATAAATGCCATAGCAACATGCCTCCTCTCTAGGGCTATGGTGAGAGGGAGGAGCCAAGGAGACACAGGACACACACTGGGGCCTCTGAGCAGGATCCTGAGGAGGTGGTGCCCTATGGGCCCTGGATGGCTTCTGCCTTCCCAAGAGAGCCCCTGCCTGTGAGGTCCCATCCCAGTAGGGGAAATGGCACTTCCACTTCTGTCCTGAATTAATGGCTGGTTCTGGTCTCCCAGGAGACTGTCAACTGTGTCCGGGTACAAATGCCACCCCATTCCCACCCGCTGCCAGGGAGAAAGGAAAAGAGAACGCAAGAGGGGGGAGAAGTGGGGGAGGAGGGGGTTGCCAAGCAAGGTGGTAGCAGAGACAGCTGGGACAAAGCTCGTATTGTAGCAGGGCCATACGCAGTTCCCACCCACCCTTTCTCACCTGCCTCCCGAGATCTGGGCCTGGAGCTCCACCTGGACTCCGTCAGCTCTTAACCACACTCACCCAAGCTGGCTGTGGTAGAGAAGCCACCTGGAAGGTGAGGCCTGCCGAAGGTGCTGCCTCCTCCCTGCGGCCATCCTAAAGCCAGGAGTCAAACAGTGGTGGGAACATGGCCAGTCAAGCCAGGGTGACGTGGACTAGCAAGAGCCCAAAGGAAAGAAAACTGCCAGCAGGTCACCTGAACTTGAGGAATTCACCCTGTGGCAGGTAGTCCTCCAAGCTTGGTCCATGCGTGAGCAAAGGCCATCACCCTCTGCCTCCCCTATTCCAGCTGCTCCCAGAAGATCCTCCTGTGCCCAGGAGGCAGGGACCCCTGTATACCTCTCTGGACAGATATACAACCCACTGATGCCCTACCCTGCACCTGATCATGGCCTCTACTGATGCTGTTTCCAGAGGTTCTGCTTGGGTGACTGAGACTGATGGATAGGAAGTGGTGCCAAGCTAGGTGGGCAGCTCAGGTGACGGGCATGGTGTCAGCGGCTCCTACACCTGACACCTCTGGGCAAACAATGCCGGCTGTGTCCAGGCCCTCTAGGGGAACGGGCCGTGTTCTGTGTCACAGCCAGGAAGCTGGCCATCTGAGTAGTGCCTTTGTCCACTCGGGAGCTGGGTACACTACTGCGCAGGAGAAGCAAGTTCCTGGGGACCCCGATGTGGGAAGGAGGTAGCCCCTGGATCAGGAACTCTGGGGTTTGGGATCTCAGTATCTGATGCTGGTCCGGTTCAAATGCTGGTCCTGCCACACAACTGAGGTGTGACTTGGGCAAGTCCTGTTGCTCATGGTGGCCCTGATTCCTTATCTGTAAGAGGGGACTAATCTCAGCACTTCCTCATAGGGTTGTTGGGAGAAGTCAATGACGTAATGTACGTAACACGTGTAGCACGGGCTGGTGTGCAGTGGGGCTTGGCTTGGCGGCTGCTTCTCCCCAGCATGGGCAGAAGTCCAGGGCATGACGCTCTCAGCTAAGCTTTCCCGGGCTATTGTCTACAGTCCCTTCTCTGAACGTGGAGTCCAGGGCTACGACCTCTGGGGCTGCCTCAAAACCAGTCACTGGCTGTAGAAAGCCTAGGTTTCTCTGCTTTGGCCCAAGGGAGCTCTGGGCTGATGCCTCATGTAGCCCCGGTCCCAGACAGCTACACCTTCCTCATGGGGCCTCTCCCTCCCCCGTGTCCCTGAAGACATCCCTGCAGAGCTGTCCTTGACACTAAAATCCCAACTCAGGAGAACATCCTAAAGACCTAGCACAGGACCCAGCGGGCCTGAGTCCACCCACCCTGCTTCTCAAGTCTCCTGGGCATTGTAAACTCCTGAGCACGCGGCTTGCTAGACACACCCACTGTGGAATACTCAGCAGCTAGGGAGGACCTTGGCCGCATGCGCAGTGTCCTGGGATGTGCTAAAATAAACGTGCATGTTTATGTGACCGAGGCTAGCCTGCATGCACACAGCATGGGAGTCAGAGGGCCTGGCTGCTTGTCCTGCCTGGGGGGGCAGGCGCCTGAGCATGGCCATGTGTATGACACATCTTGGAATGACCTATTTTGTCTGTATCCATTTATCTTTCTACCCGTGTGCTGGTATGTCCATCTGTCTTGTCTCCTTTGTAGCCAGGAAGCCCTGAACCACGTGCCAACTGGGAAGGTGATGGTCAGCGAGACCAGCCCGGCCTAATCTGGGGCTCCTACTCCTGCACCAGGAGTCCTCCAACCTGCAGCCCCTGCCACAGAGGGAGGACTGGATGTGGGAGGCGGGGTCTGAGGGGCAGGGACCTGGGGAGAAGCAGGCTTTGCTAGCAGAGTAGAAGATCCTTTGGCTGCACAGGTGGACAGGAGGCCCTTGCCCTGCTGTCCCCGTGACTGTGGTGGGGTCTTCGCCCCTCTGGGTGCCTTCATTGACCTGGAAGATCTGGGGTCGGACTGATGACTTCTATCCACCCCTGAGGCTCTGAGAACTAACTGAGACTTTAAACCGGGGGTAACAGTCTCTGACAAGCCCCACTGAATTCACTGGCGAAGGCAGCCACCTACAGCTTAGCCTACAGGTCCTCGCTTGATTCTGGGGTGTCGTGCCGAAGGGCAAGAGGAGAAGCCATGCCAGGCAGTGGCCCCAGTGAGAGGATGACATGGCCCGGCCCTGCCCTCCCTACGCCCCCCACAACCCGCCCTCTCTCCTCAGCCCCGGGAACACCGCCCATCCCACCACTAACCAGGACCCGCAGTCTCATGGCCATGTCCCTGCCAGGAAGTAGACGCGCCTCTGCCGGATCTCGCAGGTGAGTCTCTCCCTTGTTTAGAGCCTGAGCTTCCGAGGCAGGAGGGCATGAGCTTTGTCTCCATCTGCAACAGGCTTGCAGGGTGCCTTGAAGCAAACTGTGCCCTCGGTTTCCCCATCCTTAAAATAGGCTGGCTGATCCACGCCACCTCCAGGAACTATTTAAGGACCTAAATGACATGGTGGATATAGCAGTTGTATGAAGGTTCCCATTAGCGTCGGCCCTGCCATTGCTAGTTCTCTTTCGACTGTCACCCTGTGGGTCGCTCTCCAGTCACCTCCTGTCTGCCCCATTCTAATCCCCTCTGTTTCAGTTCATGCCTGGATGTCCTTCCCTGGGCTAAGTGACCCTGGGGCCCACCCTTTGTCCACAGCCCTGTCTAGCCTCTGTGCTTGACCCTGGGGAACTAGGAGGGTTAGCCACCTTCTGGTTTCTGTCTTGATTACCACTGTCTCTTCTGTCACCCTTGTCTCTGTGTGTGTGTGTGTCCCACCCCACTGCCCTTCTTCCCTGGAACGAACCCGAAGCGGGGGCACGTTAGGCCGTAGTGGCCTGGCAGTGTTCGCCCAGTGCCCACAGCTGCCCGCCAGCCAGAATGAGCAGCTGCCTCTTCTCCCCGCCTCCAGGCGTACTTCTCCACCTGTGAGTGTGCGGGACGCCTACGGCACCTCTTCCCTCAGCAGCAGCAGCAACTCTGGCTCCTGCAAGGGCAGTGACAGCAGCCCCACACCGAGGTAACCAGCTCCTCCTCCCAGCCAGGCCTGGCTGCCTGGGAACCTGGTGCCCGGGTGATGGGGGGACAGCAGCACCATGGTCTGCCCATCCCAACTCCAGCATTCTTACCGACTAGATCCTAGAACTTGTCACATCTCCCCTCTGAGCTTTGGTTCCTGTCTGTAAAAGGGGCACAAGCCCATGCGATAAGCTGTCAGGAACAGAGACAGGCGACTCCTGGAACTCACAGGTCTCACCCATTCCCGGTCACCATCCATGTGAACCATTTGTCCTAATTTTCCTAAGATGGTCCCTGTGCCACCACCCGTCAGGTAGGTCAGCGAGGAAGAAGATAGCCCCCTTGTGTCCATAGCTCCCAGAAGGGACATTTTCCCTGTGGCATTTTGCTTAGACTTCATTGGTTAGAACTGGGTCACATGGCTTCCTAGCAACCTATCCAGTTAATTCAGAGAGGATTAGTGTGTTCCTCTCAATGGTGCCATCCCAAACACAGAGGAAGAGGCAAGGTAGATACGGGGCATTTGTCTCGGGCACTGCGAGTGGCAGAAGTGGTGACGTGCTACAGTGTGGCACGTGCTAAGCTCTGGTCTAGGTACAGTAGACAGAGACCTGAGATAGAGAGTCACACTGGGGGCAGGTAAAGAAGTTCTGTCTGTCCTGAAGACCAGGATGTTAGTTAGAATCAGGGTGCTGGAAAACATGTGGGCACCGAGGGGTTGTGGGGAGCTGCAGGCTTCCTGTCTCCGAGGCTCAACTTTTTCTCTTCCATAAAATGGAGCCGATAATGCAGGATGCCAGTGAGTTGATCTGTGCACTCCCTGTATGTCCTGGGCCATAGTGAGGCTTGAAGGTTATGGACACACGAGAATGGGTGTGAATCCTGACTGCAGACCCACAGCCAGGCTCCTCCCTGCAAGCCATGTCCTGCGCCTCTAGCAGAGAGATGTCTTCTGTGTTCAGTGATGTGCAGAGCCGTTAAAGCCACAGAGCTCAGGTTTTCCGCCAAGGTGTGGGCGGTGGGAAACAGTCATATGCAGGACCTATGTACGTGTTAGAAGCCAGCATCTGGCTCCTATCCGATTTCTGTCTTGAAAAGCATGGAATTGGAAAAGTCCAGACTTTTCCACTAGTGACAGTTTTGTAACAGATCTCCCATCTGAAGCCCCTGGGGCTGTCCCAAACCACAGGTTGCACACCTGTGAAGAGAGAAGTCCTGTTGCCCCAAAGGAGGCCTGCCACCCCTGAAGAGGGGGGCAGAACAATATTACCTAAGGGCTCACTGCAGCCAGGCTGTCTCTGCTAAGATGTGCGTGATCGCATTTCTCTTTTTTAATACATCACACACACGGGGCTGGGCAGCTACTAGTGACTATCGGCATATATTAAATATTATCTTGGGAAAAATGCCCATGAAGGCAAATGAGAACATTCAAAGCCCCACTTTCCTCTGACCCTCAGTTCTACTAGTTTAGCGCCTGCTTTTCCACCCTTGCCTCGTGCCAGGCTGAGAACTTTCCTCACCGCAGGTGTGTGTCCTTCTGCCAAATCCCTTGGAGGGCAGGACAGTTACAGATCTGAATGGAGGATGTCGGACAGCTTCTTGTCTTTGGGGGAGATCTTAGAGCAGGGTGTGAAAGTCCAGGCACCCAGCATGCCACCCTTGCCCCTTGCCAGGCAGAAGAGCAGCTCTGTGACCTGGCTTCCCTTCCTGTTGCCACCTTCTAACACTTCACAGTCTACCTTAAATATCACACAGCTTCCGTGAAACTTTAAATCTGCCTTGAACCTGGCTACTTCCACAATGGGCCTCCACAGGGCCTCTCTTTCCAAGCCCTAGGAAGTATCTATGCTGAGGCTAAGTGTCCCCAGCCCCTGGAACAGCAGAGTGATGTAGCTACAGGCTGCAGTCTCCATTGTGTGGGAACACTCCCAGGATTTGAAACCAAGATCCAAGCAAGGTTCTTAAGAACAGATCCTGCAGCCAGGAAGCTGTGGGTGGAACCATCTGAACCAAAGTCTGTTGTGGAATCAGGGAGTTCTCCTTAGGAAAGCCTTGGCCAGCCCTCCGTCCTGGCCCACTCAGTGGCCCTCTGGGTGGAGGCTCCTCCACACTGGTATGGTATGACACACTGGATCAGTTGCAGGAGGTGTCCAGCCAGCTGCTACTCAGGGCCCTGCTGCTAATTGTCCACACCTAGCAAGTGTCTACATACGTGCTCACACATGTCCCAGAGCATGGGCGCAAACCCATGGCTGGTGTCCAGGTCCAGGCATTCACCTATAAAGGCAGCATGAAAATGGTGTATGGACAACCATGGGGATATGCAGGTGCACATGGCTGGAGACACCATGAATTTCCTGAGAGCAAGGAGTGGCCAGGCCTGCCCGTGTGTACATGTAATGTAAACCTGTGTATTCCCAAAGGCGAGTAAAGAGAGCGCATCGTGGTTATCTGCAGAGACAGCCATGACGTCACCCCTGTGTCTTTGCCCGCATCCCTGCCCCTAGGCTAGCTCCCTCCCAGGAAGATGTCACCTCTGCAGGTGAGTCCTTTATCCTCCAGGCAGGCTCACTCAGAACCTGCCCTTGCTCCCCATTCTCACATCCTCCATTGAAGACAGGCAGCCCGGGCTCAGGAAGCGCGCAGACTGCATAGGGGCTGCTTGAGCTACCGTCTCTGAAGTGAGTGAATGTTCGTAGGACAAAGGCTCCCGTGCACCCAGTGCTGCGGTGAGGGTCTACACAGGGTGTCAAGGGGCACTGAGCACACACGTGCCTCATGAGAGGTCCCTCTTCCCTGGGCAGATGTGTCTTAAGTCCCCCATCCAACTCTTCACTCAGGAGAGCCTCGCTAAAACTCACCTCACAGAAGGCTGGCTCTCGGTGTGCCACGCCCACAAAGCCTGCTCAGAAGGGCTGGTGGCACAGGCTGAGCTGAAGATACTTAGGCTGCTCCCTGGTCCGGCTCTGTACCCCACCTGCCCACTGCATCCCCCACCTCTGATGGACGGTCCCTTGCAGGCGCTCCATGAAGTATACACTATGCAGCGACAACCATGGCATCAAGCCCCCCACCCCAGAGCAGTACCTGACTCCGTTGCAGCAGAAGGAAGTTTGCATCCGGCACCTGAGGGCCCGGCTCAAGGACACACAGGACAGACTTCAGGACCGGTGAGTGGCAGCCAGGGGAATCTCAGCAGAGCCAGGATCTTGGGGTATCCCCTGAGAAGAGGGAAGAATGGGCCTTGCTGCCATCGACCTAAACTCTCCTCTTGGCAAAGCCTCATCTGGGCCCATTTATAGAGGTGCCAACCCCTGACACCCCTTGACTACTTTAAGCAGGTGCTTGGGGCCAGTGGGAAGGGTCCCTCCCTGTAAGGACTGTCGCTCCCTGCTGCGGTCCTCTTCTGACCATAGACCTGCACCTCCTCTGGATGGCGGCTTCTCCCCTGGATCCTGTCTTCCCAGGGATCTGAACCAGAGTCTCTCCCAGCTTCCGTATCCCTGGGGGTGAGAAATAGACCTTTAACCCTCCCCTGCCTCTCCACAATGAGAAACAGGGGCCTCAGCCCACAAATCAGGCCCCGAAGCCTTCCTCCATGTCTGCGTCCTTCCTAGAGACGGCCCAAAATCAGGAGATGCTATGGCTGAGATCCTGCTCAGCCTGGGGGGTCTGCCAGGAGCTCAGGTTCAGCTGTGCTCATTCACAAGTCCTTGCGAACGCTTGGTGCTACCCCTCCTGGTGGCTTCATCTTTAATGAGTCACACTTCAAAGGGTTGAGCACTGCGGCAAATTGTGTCACCCCAGGCAATAGGCTGAGGAGAGACTGTAAGTTTGAGGACTACCTGGCATACATAGTTAGGCCCTGTCACAACAAACATCCCATATTAGGGTGGGATCCCCACCTCTGATGGCCTGCACCAGCCCCCTCTGCACTGTGTTTGTTCTAAGCTGGACCAAACTGGACGGGGCACTAGAGCTCCAGGCAGGCATCCCCACTGTGCCTGTTCTTTGCTTCTGTAGCAGCTTTTATACCTACCCGAAGTTATTCTACAGGCCATAGAACTGGCCTGTCTAACCCACTGGAGGGTGTGTAGACAGTTTCCCCTCCTTCCTGTGAGCCCCTCCCCCACTTCCCCTCCTGCTTCCTCCTCCTAATCCTCTGTAGGCCTCCCATGGATATCAACCAGCCATAGCATATCAAGCTGCAGTGAGACTGGGCTCCTTCTCTTCTGTTCAGGCTGGATGAGGCACCCAGTAGGAGGAATGGGTCCCAAAAGAGACAGTCCCTGCTCCCACTGTTAGGGGTCCTACAAAAAGACCAAGTTACACACCTGTAACAGCTGTGGGCCTCTGAATGGAGAGCCTAGCTCAGTCCCGTGCAGGCTCCCTGGTTGTCAGTTCAGTCGCTGTGAGCCCCTATGAGCCCGGGTTAGTAGGTTCGGCGAGTTTTCTTGTGGTGCCCTTGACCCCACCGGCTCCTCCAAACCTTCTTCCCCCTCTTCTGCAGGATTTCCCAAGTTCTGCCTAATGTTTGGTTGTGGGTCTCTGCATCTGTTTCCATCAGTTGCGAGCGAAGTGTCTCTGATGGCAGTGGGCTAGGCACTGATCTATGAGTACAGCAGAGTATCCCTAGGCATCGTGTCATTGACTTTCCCCAGTCATGTTTGGTTCTACCCTTGGTCTCTGGGCCCTGGCCCTCAGGGGTGAGCTCCCTGTCATAGTTGAAGCACGATTAATAAAAACTCAGAGATAGAAATTGGGGTTCAACCTGAAGACCAGAAAAGCAAAGCAGCCAGCCACCTCTACCTCAGTCCAAAATGGCAGTCCTGCCTCCAAGAATCTCAGAATGAGACTGCCTTTCTGAGCTGTCTCCTCCAGTTTTATATTCCTCTCTAGGGCTGGGATTAAAGGCGTGCACCACTGGGAACAGAGATACACACCTCCCAGTTTCTATGGCAAACTAGTGTGGCTACTGGGATTAAAGGTGTGTGTCACCACTGCAGTCTATAAGGATGACCAGTGGGACTGTTTTACTCTCTGATCTTCAGACAACCTGGGCCGGTCATTTGTTGACGACTCCCACAATTTCAGTGCTCTGATACCCCTTTTTACCACCCTGTTCCCATTAGTAGTCATTCCCCATCCTCTCCAGTCACCCTGGTACCCGCCAGTCTTCCTGTCCTTATAGATCTCTGGGCATGATATAGTTCCGCATGCATGACCAACCTCTACCAGTTCAGTCAGGCTTGGTTGTAGTTTCAGAGGTCGGGGTGGTCTATGGGCTCCACCATCCTTGAACTAAGGTTCCCTTTTCGGGTTCCTGCCCTCTTCCCAGTGATGCCCTGGGTCTGATTGTGCTTTTGTACTGATGTCCATGAGGAGCCAGAAGCCCTTCTAACTTCTTCTCTGGGCCAGCCAGCAGTGAAATATAGGCCATCTACCTGTGTTTGGCAGAATGTCCCCAACCACTCTGTTACCCTTGAAAGGTCCCACAGCAGGCCTGTCCTGGCATAAGGCTTTTCTCCTCACACCCTCCGGGTATTAGTTAATAGCCAGACATAGTTTCTGTGCTAACCTCCCTTCTACTTCTCAGCCACCATGTGCTTTGACAACCGCCTCTGTGTTTGTGGACACTGTGTCCCCACACTTTGAGGTGCCGTTTCTTCCGTCTTGCATCCTCGCTGGCCCTTCTTTTAAGGTGCGGTTCAAATGTTATTCCTATAGCTTCAGTCCAGCTCAGGACTGGGAAGCCATTGTCCCTGAGGTCTAGCTGGCTCCAGGAAGAGAAGCGCAGGAGCGGCTAAGCTGAGCATGCCCAGTTCATCCCAGGGCAGGCAGGAGCGGCTAAGCTGAGCATGCCCAGTTCATCCCAGGGCAGGCAGGAGCGGCTAAGCTGAGCATGCCCAGTTCATCCCAGGGCAGGCAGGAGTGGGAAGTGGAGATACTCCACCCTGAGGAAGAGAAGGGAGATCAAGGACCCCATGCCTGTTATCTGCCTGCTTTTGCCACTTGGGTAGCTCCAGTCCACTGCCCTCCCCAACCCCACTGCTGAATTAGACTATGTGGAGTGGTCAGATCCTCCTAGAGGATATTGCTTGACCTCTGGAGCCTATTCCCGAGTGGGACTGCCAATCTAACTTTGGAAAATCTGTGGTTCCCTATGTGGTACAGTCACTCTGCTAGGCTCACAAACCCCCCAGTGGTAGCCTTGGCATTGGCAGTTTGTTCATTAAGCCAGGCTTCCGGGTGAGATGTGGAGCTCATGGCGAAGAGGGTCCTGGTAGAGTGAGTGGTAAGCTCCGCCCCCATGAGTGCCCTGCTTTCCTACTGCTTACAGTCAGTGTCCACTGAGTGTCACCCTGGTTTCCCCTTAGCCACTGTGGCAGGGTTCACTAACCACCTCCCTCTTCCGCACCCCCGGGTCCAGCTGTAACTCGGGACTTGAAAGGCCTCAGCCACTCTGGGTGGGAGTCTTGCTGCTGTTGCTCACTGGCGCGGCTCCTCTCCTGGTATCTGCATTCCTCATCCATCTCTTTGGCCTCCCCCCTTGACAGTAAAGAATAAGAAGCTTCTAGCATGCATACAGGAGAGCCACCCAGTCCTCCCCCTCCTCTAACTCATTACACTTGGTGATAATTTATCTCAGGCCACCACCCTTCCCCTGGGAGTCTGGGAACAGACGTCTGTCCTCTTAAAACACTCACAAGCTGCTTTACTAGAAAACCATATCCCTCTCTTGTGTTTGCCACTTTGCATTAAGGGTTTATTACATTTTTTATAGCAGTGGGCTCATAATTAAGGATCTGTGTAGTCTCTTCTGGAGGCAATGATGTGAAGGCTTGGCTTAGTGCTGAGATAGGGATGTGTCTCCTCCTGCCATTTTTTTCCTCCCTCTCAAGGGAGTTTCTCCTGTCTTGGCCCCTGGCTCCACCCACCCTTCCTCCTCCCAGTAGGATGAAAGGAAGAAGAGGCTATTAAGTCTTCCCACTTTTGTCTCTAGCTTTGAGCCACCCCACTCGAGGGCCATCTGTGTTTGATGACATCCCCTTGTCTCTCTGCAGCAGAAGCCAGGCTATAGAGCAAGTGTGTTTCCTTTGCTCACAGGGACACGGAGATCGATGACCTGAAGACTCAGCTGTCTCGCATGCAGGAGGACTGGATTGAGGAGGAGTGCCACCGTGTGGAAGCCCAGTTGGCTCTGAAAGAGGCCCGCAAGGAGATCAGGCAGCTCAAGCAGGTCATCGACACTGTCAAGAACAACCTGATTGACAAGGACAAGGGGCTCCAGAAGTACTTCGTGGACATCAACATCCAGAACAAGAAGCTGGAGACGCTGCTGCACAGCATGGAAGTAGCCCAGAATGGAATAGCCAAGGAGGAAGGAACCGGGGAGTCGGCTGGTGGGTCCCCGGCACGCTCCCTCACCCGCAGCTCCACCTACACCAAGCTGAGTGACCCAGCTGTCTGTGGTGACCGCCAGCCAGGGGATCCCTCCAGCACCTCTGCTGAGGATGGAGCTGACAGTGGATTTGTGGCTGCTGACGACACACTGAGTCGGACGGACGCCCTGGAGGCCAGCAGCCTGCTGTCGTCAGGAGTGGACTGTGGCCTTGAGGAAGCATCACTGCAGAGCTCCTTCAACCTGGGCCCTCGCTTCCCTGCCAGCAACACCTATGAGAAGCTCCTGTGCGGCATGGAGGCCGGTGTGCAAGCCAGCTGCATGCAGGAGCGGGCCATCCAGACAGACTTCGTGCAGTACCAGCCTGACCTGGACGCCATCCTGGAGAAAGTAGGCCAGGCTCAGGTGTGTGGGACAGTCCCCAAGGACAGGCACTCAGAGCTGGATCCCCACCCGTCAGGGCCCAGAGACCCCAACTCAGTAGTGGTGGTGACAGTGGGTGACGAGCCTGAGGCCCCAGAGCCCATCACCTGTGGGCCAACTACACACCGGCCTGCAGCCAACTCCAACCCGGGACTACCAGTGAGTGTGGTGTGTCCCGTGGAAGAGGAGGAGGAGGCAGCTGCCGCTGAAAAGGAACCCAAGAGTTACTGGAGCCGCCACTACATTGTGGATCTGCTGGCTGTGGTAGTGCCGGCTGTGCCAACAGTGGCCTGGCTCTGCCGCTCCCAGCGGCGCCAGGGCCAGCCCATTTACAACATCAGCTCTTTGCTGCGGGGCTGCTGCACAGTGGCCTTGCACTCCATCCGTAGGATCAGCTGCCGCTCACTCAGCCAGCCAAGCCCCAGCTCAGCGGGCGGCTCCCAACTCTGAGGGGGCTGCCAGCCCTTCACTTTTGGCAGCCTGACCACTGATTGTAGGATGCCATTTGCTGCCCCTCACATCCCCATGGGCATCCTCTTAATTTACTTTCAGGTCTGGAATAGCGCCCCCACCCCAGATGTTCATAGTGTCAGGGCCTCAGGAAGGCAATCCCAAAGCCTGAGAGAAGAGGTAAAGGTGGCCAGTTGACGAGGGAGACACTGGTAAGAGCTCCCCTCTGGCCCCTCTGTCCACCCAGACTTCAGACAAGGCAGGCCCTGCCGAGAAAGTCTTTGGCTGTGTTGATCTGGGGACCTGCCTTTCCCCTGCACCATCCTTTCCAGCACCCAGCCCACTCCGTGTCTTCTCTCCCAGGCCATCCCTACCCCTCTCCTCTGGCTCCTGGACCAGTATTAGCTCCTCAAATGGAGGCAGCCAGGACTCAAAATGCAGAGAACCACTCCAAGCAGGGTCTGGCTGCCCAGGTCCCACTGAAGCTCCAGCCTCTCCTCCCTTGTCCTGGGATGCAAAAGTACGATCCAGCTGGAAGGACCGGCTCAGGCAGGAGGGGTAGAGAGCAGGGTAGGTTCTGTGTCCGTCTGTCTGTCCTCCAGGCCTTTCCCCCACAGTCCGTTTTCCTCTTGGTTCCTGGGTGTGTTCGATCTTCACGAGCTGTCCAATGCTCATTGCTACCCCTGACACACTAATTAGGGATTGGGAGAGAACGCTTACCCAAGCCTCAACTTCCATTGGGTGACTCTGTCAGTGCAGAGAAGACAAGGCGAGCGGGTCTAGGGGCCCTTTACCTTCCGAGATGAGTCATCTCATCTGTAGCCTAGAGGTACCTCAGCGATTTGGGAAAGTCAAGGGCCCCTTGCCCCAGGCCCCTTTGGCCTGACCCTACCTATGTTTGCACTTGGTTCCCTTAGGGTCTTGGTTTCCTGCCCACCCCAGAACCCCCAAGCTGCTTGCTTTCTGGGATGAGGGTTTCTGAATCTCTGACCCAGCTGTCTCCAGAGGAAGGCGGCCATCTGGAGGAATCTGCAGATGGGGTTCTGAAGTCACAGCATCTGCCTATCCATGCCAAAGCAGGGTCCCCTGGGCATGTTTCCTAACCAGGGGAGTGGCCAGGCAGTGGGAGCCTGCCTGGGCTGCTCCTGGTCCAGGCCCAGTCAGCCTGGGAAGATGCCCTGATCCTCACTTCCCTCTTCTTCCCAGAGAGGTCAGACCTGACTGGCCCACACCGGGGAGTTGGTAGAAGCCTGCATCTCACTCTCTGACCTAGAAGCCTCTCTGGGTCTCTGCTAAGGTCGCTTGCCCTCACCGTTGCCCCAGTGGCCACGACTTGACTCATGAGTTCTGCCCCTCCACTCTGTGCCCTCCCCCGAGGGCACCTGCATGCACTGGGAGTGGGCAGCCAGCCTAGCCATCAGGGCAAGAGCCCTCTGCCACGCGCTTTGTGCCTCCAAAACTCCCCCACCTTGGCTGAGGCCTCAGACCAGCCGTCCTTGGTGGAGCACCCCTACCCAAGCTGAACCAAACCCAAATGCCTGAGGCCTCGCTGGGGCTGCCCCATAGGACACTGGGGTGGTGCCATAGAGAGACGGGATAAAACTGATCCAAAGCCAAGCCAGGACTGGCTACGGACCCAGCCTCCTGCGCCGTGCACTCATGGAGCTCCATATGTCTCCTTAGCAACAGTCGAAGCTCTGCTGAGAAAATAAATGTATGAACTATATTTGACAACATAAAATCCATATATTTTTCACCACTGGCATTTAGTCCAACTTCACAGCCCCTCTCTGTTCCATGTCTTGCTGTCTGGGCCTTCTTGTTGTGTCTCGTGTTTTTGGTGAACTTGGGCAGGGTTAGAACTGCGGTCCACTCTGCTCCTGCTGCTGGAGAAGCCATTGCAAAGTGCCCGGGTCTGTAGAGGCAGTAAGTGAAACTGACCGTCCTCCTGCTCCTGCTCCGACCCTAGCCCCGTCTCGCAGGGATCCTCTTCTGGGAGTTCTGCCTATCAGAAGGGCTCTGCTCCTTGCCAGTGGAGTGAGCAGATTACTACCCCATCCTTGGATGAGCCTGGATCCCTGCAGGCTGGGGTACAGGCCCTGCTCCTAAGTGTATATAAGCCCAGAGTCGCGTATCTGTAAAAAGGGGCTGCGATGTCAGGAGGTGGGCTTGGAAGTAGACACTTCAGCAGCCTGCTGGTTCCAGACGTGGAGAAGGGGGCTGAGAGCAAGGTGGGACTGGGCCAGGCTCCCTCGTAGATGCTCACTCCCAAAGCTCCCCCCCCTTTCCTTCCAGTTGGCCACTCCCCATAGGCTGCGATTTGCCCTCTTGCCCTTGGCTCCTGGAGCAGAAATGTTTAGGGTGCTCCTTTCCCCTACCTCCAGTCAGAGCTGACAAGGTCTTGAGGAAGTGTCCCCAGGAACTACCTTCTATAACTACTGAGCCCTCGGAGCGGAGTGGCTTGAAATAGTGGCTCCCTCATTCTGGAGCCCTCTGTCAGGGCTCAGTGAGGACTTCTGAACAGAGGCAGCCTTGAGCAGAGTTCACCACCAATGTCTTCAAGCAGGTAGCATCCATAGCTTTTCACTGAGACCCCTTCCCACCTGCGCAGACAGCAGACGGCAGATCCCAGGCTCTAGGGCCCGAAGGCTATTGAGGGGCCTCCACCAGGAAACTCACGGTCCCCTCTGAACTAGATGACAGCACAAACAGGCCACCGTTCACTCTCACATTAGGCTATTCCCTTGACAGAAACTTCAGGGGACACAGGAGGGGGGCCGTGGGGTGGGGTCTCCTTTGTCTTTTCGTTCAGACAGAGTTGTGCCTGTAGCAGACAGCTCTGAATTAAAGCATGAGGACACACACCGCCCCTCGGCCTGGTGTCTTTGTACTGTGTCATTTCTCGAAGTGGGCTGGGGTGGGTGAGAAGCTCACCATGGCACCCAACACAGATGGAAGCAGCCATTGGCTGGCTCGGCCCCACCAGGCCCTGACGTGTAGGACTCGGGCCTCTCTGCCCATCTGGGGTTAGGTACAGGATCTAGAATTCCCACCCTGATCCCAGGTCACATCCTGCCCAGCACTGGGACAATATTCCCGTTCTGCCCAGCAGTCCTGAAATGGTTTTTTTTGGCCCATTCTGTAGCTACAAAAACAGCCAAGATCATTCAAGCAGGGTCCCTGCCATCCCACAGCCACCTGACCCTCAGCACCAACATCCTATGACAGACTGGCAAGCATGCCACAATACACAGACAGACTGCTGCTCTCAGAGACACAGATAAGGACGTGGCCTGGTCACTGTCCAAAAGCAAAAGCAGCCTTGTCATGTCCCATGTCGTGGAACCTGGGATTCTGGAATTTCCAGGAACTTTAATGGAAGTTACTGTGTTTAAAAGACAGTCAAAGGTCACAACTAACCTACAGACAGTCAAGGGTTACACAAGTGATCTATACACATCTGTGATAAAGATCAATGAAGGCAACACACAGGGAACTCCTCTGTCAAGTGGCTGACTTCTAGAAGAGGCAAAAGTCTACAAAGGGACCCAGCAGCACTCGGTGACATTCTGCTGTTCTGCCTAAGTGCCCAGCATCTGGGGCACAGAGAACCAAGTGCCTGCGTCACACTTGTGCCTCAGCATAGCTAGGAGTCAGGATCCAAGGAGGCCTGGAAACAGCAATGGCAGACTCATCCAGCATGTATCCACCTGAGACATGCCCATGCAATGCCCAGACCCAAGTAGCAAGCCATCTGTAACTGTTGTCTGAGGATCGCCATCTTCACTGCAGAATGGCGGGAGGCCTGGGCTGCCCTGTGACTTCAGATGTCTGGAATGGAGTGGTCCATGGTGTGCTGCAGCAGCAACGGGGACAACCTAGACAAGGGCGACAATGACAGTGCTGAAACTGGCAGCTGTCCTTCCTCCACCCCCAACGCAGCCTGTTCCACCCACTCATCCCCCACTTCTAAGGATTTCAAGTCATGAGAAGCCACTAGCCACCATGAACTGAAGAAGAGTCAAAGACAGAACCAAGCGGACGGTGCTCTGGGTCAGCACCGAGGCTGCCAGGGCATAGGAGGTGGAGCCGGAGCAGAGGGCAGAGGGTGGGTTAACAGCCTTACTTTTTGACCATATGCTCATAGATCACAGTAGGAATGAGGGTCAATGTGATGACGTTTCCAGCTGTGGTCAGGATCTCTGTAATCTTTTTGTCCTAAAGAGGAGGAAAATGATTGGTCATCGTGGGGAGCAAGAATAGCACTGCTACCTGACTGGTAGGCAGCTCAGCATGGCTGTAGCTAGAGGACACCACCTACACCTCGCACCTGCCTGCAGCAGCTGGCTGCCCGGGACCCTGGACATCTCAGGGAAGCTACTGTTCCTCTCATTTGAGAATTGGCAGGATCACAGGACCATGGCACTGACCTCCCATTCTTGAAGGCCAGCCATGTGGGCCTTACCCCACAAATGTGATTCTCCAGCCTCAGCCAACTTCACTGGCCCCAGTTATATGTGGGCTTCTGTGGGGGACACTGGGCCCACCTGTGTGTGTCCTTGGGCTCCTGCTGGCTTACCAGTCCGAGCCAGCCACATGGGTCCTCACCTATACCCCTGACTAGACCATGAAGAAAACGACAGACAGTCTCCATGCAAACGCTGTTCACCAGATGAATGACTACAATTATGGTAACAAGCCTCTGGTCCCTGCTCAGGTCCTGGTGACCATCATTTTGCTTTGCTGACATGTGGGCTCCTGTGGGAGACACGGGGCCCACCTGTGTGTGTCTGCAGGCGTGAGATGCCACCACCTGCCCCACGAACACCATGGGATGGAGAGGCATTCCTACCGTAGTGGCGTGAGTCAGGACTGAGTTGCCCTCACTTGTTCAAGTCTCAAACCACAGCTCATTACTGCCCATTCCCAGAAGACACCTCTCTTCCCACATCTACAGCAAGGGCCTACAGCCATGTGTACCTTCTTGCTTTGTAAAGATAGAATTCACCTACCCTCCCTGAATAAGACCAGAAATGGATTTCCAAATCACAGTTTTCTAAAGGAAATCCCATTACTGAACGTGATCAGCGTCCAAACAGAAGCACCGCACAGAGGAGGAGATGTCCTTGTGGCCAGCAGCCACCTGGGAGCCCATGTCCTCGCACATTACAATACCCACCCTCCCCCCCGGCACCTCTTATCTTGCATGCTAGGAACAAGAGGGAATTCTTATGGGCACCTACTTGTTCTGATTGACACTGCTCGGAGCG